ACACCCTCTCAACGCTCGTGAGCGCTTGTGACTGTTGAGAGGAGTGGGTCACAACACCCTCTCAACGCTCGTGAGCGCTTGTGACTGTTGAGAAGGGTCACAAAATAGCTGGGGCTGTTGAGAGGACTGGGTCAAATTGACCCACCCCATTTGACCCAGTCCTCTCAACACGCACAAGCGCTTGTGACTGTTGAGAACCTAGTTGTTAAAATGTGCGTTCCTTAAGGCGACCCTGCGTAGTGACAGGTTACTTGTAACGCGCTGCTGACTAGGGGGGTAGGTTCTCAACAGTCACAAGCGCTTGTGCGTGTTGAGAGGGGTAGGTCAATTTGACCCAGTCCTCTCAACAGTCCCAAGTTCTCAACAGTCACAAGCGCTCACGAGTGTTGAGAGCCATGTTTCACTGGCGCTCACGAGCGTTGAGAGCCATGGTTCACTAGCGCTCACGAGTGTTGAGAGCCATGGTTCACTAGTGCTCACGAGTGTTGAGAGCCATGGTTCACTAGCGCTCACGAGCGTTGAGAGCCATGGTTCGCTAGCGCTCACGAGCGTAGAGAGCCATGATTCACTGAATCACCTTTGTATTTTAAAAACAGGACCTGAACAACGATGACAGTGATTGCAAAGATATGTCACTTTTTTTTTGCAACAAGTTGCAGCTACCCCTTCAGAACCCAACCATTTTGGCTGGTTCTGCCCCCCCCAAAGCGATATTCCTCATGCCAAAAAGGACATTCGAGGGTCTACGGTTGTCAACCCTCTCAATAATTCATCTTTGGTCCAAACACTAATCTTCTTGGAGGCAAGCTTCATCACCTGCCAGGCCATGGCAAGAAGTCATGACTCAACATTGATAATGATACAAAGTCAGTTTACAGGTCAAAGTCTACACGTAAATTGGATTTTGATTGGCTCATTGATCTTTCCTCGCATCCATCAGAATCAGGCTGGCCTCCTGGCGCTGTTGCTCTTGTGTGACTAAAGCCATGAACTTGACACCTTTGCCCTGCAAGCACTCGTCAACAGAGTCCAGCCAGTGCCACCCAGGCTTGATGGTGCACTCATCCACAACATGTCGCAACATGGTGTAAATCGCGTTGTTCTCCTGCTAGCACACCATTTGAAAATCAGGAAAATGATTGACTCTTGAGATTTGGATGTGCGAGTGAAGATCGAACATTTTGCAAACACTTCAGGTCTGCAAACTATTTAAACTACACATGGCATGTTTTGAAAAAACACTGACATGACATTGTCGTTACTGACAACAGCATGGTCCTCCTTGAAGTCAGCACTGACCCAAACTTTGCGCTTGAGCTGCGTGGTCGGACAAAGTTTGCAACAAAGCGATCGAGCGCAACCATCAAGGGCAGCCGCGTCCATGATGTAGCAACCACGAAGAACAGCGCACAAAAGGACAATCTCTGGAATTGACTTGAAAGACTTTGCAAGGATGATGTTGGCCAAGCCTGGATCGTGAACGATTTGCATGCCAAGGTCTCTTGCCTTTTGGGCAGCAGTGCCAGCACCTTGGCACACAAATGCCATCACATGCCTGCCACCAGTGTCCTCGTCAAGGAAAGATGGTCTCTTAGGGCCTGCATACAATATGTTCTTGTTCTTTTCCTTCGTCGTGAGTTGATTGGCAGCCAGGGGCACTTTCATGCGCTGGATGTAGTCCTCAAGTTCTTGGTCAGCCTCAGATGGCAACAAAACTCCATCTCGCAAGGCTTGCACTTTTCTTTTCAACCTTCCTTCTGCTTGAAGTTTTGCCTCCTTCTCATGGGTGTTCCCCCAGCAAGAGTCAGTGCCATCATCGTCAAGAATCTCATCACTGTGCCTTGCACTGACGTGATCATCCACGTCCTTACGACGGTTCCGGATCCATGTGGTTTCAGTCATCAGTGACTGCGACAATGGTGAGCTTGATCGAGATATCCCCTTGTCAAGTCGTGGCTTCTTGTGAGTACGTGGCGAGGGGTAGATCTGTGCCCACACCTGTCAGGACAGGACATCAAACAGTCACAGCAAAGTAAATGCATTTTGGAAACCTTTTTCTCACTATGTCAAATGTTGGTCAACAAAGACTAGCCGCGCCTTTCTCGCCAATGCAATTTGCTGCTCTTCTAAATCTTCACAGTGATCCAGCAGGAGGACTGCCTCATTGCATTCGCAAGCTTCTGAGGCATGGGACTGCCGCGCTGTTGCAAAGTGGGTCAAATGACCAAAGCTCTGCTCAACGCCACTGGAAGACGGACTCCAGGCTGCCCATCGACTCAATGCAACTTGCACAGCATCACAGGGATGTTGATCTCTCCGTTTCTTGGAGGATAGGACTTGCTTGATGATGGCCTGCCATGCGCTGAAGGAATCACAGCTGGCATTTTGAGCATGGACCCTGGCCAAAGCTGCCAAATCATAAAACTGCGTGCGAAACTGCATCACATCCAAGTCGAAGAATTTTGAAATCCGATTGATATGAGTCTCCTGTGTTTGGGTGGACAACAATTTCTTGCCACCTGTGACATTGAACAGCTGGAAGGCAGAGACTAAGTCCCACTCTGGGAACTCATGTTGGATCACCATCTTTGCTAAACGCACCCATGTTTGCATCCTCTTCAAGCATTGCACCACCAGTTCCGCAGTAATGGAGCCTGGTCCTCCCAAGCTTCTAACACTCTTGCCATCCAGCGTTGGCAACAAAATCTCACGCTCACTCAAAAGAGTGATCATGTGATGTGTGTAGCCCGTCAGCACACACACAGGCTCATCGAGGGCAAACAAGTGGCTAATCCTGGTGATGAAGGTGGCAATCTCGTTTGCCAGGTCCTCTGATGCTGGCAGCTCTCTGTCAAAAGATCGGCAAAGCTGTGACCCCTCATCTCCAGCATCGGCAATCATGGATATCGTGAGTAGTGTTTCTTCTGTACAAAACGCTAAGAAGGCACTTGCACGGGCCCCTGCATCTTCCCCCCTTTTTCTCACGAGACATCTCGATGGCTGTCGTCAGCAGTGGGATTAGGTAGAGGCAGAATCTGCCAATTGGTTTCTGCGTTGAATCATACCTTTGCCTTGCCAATGACATTGAACGGATGATGGTTTTTGTAGCAGTGGGGATGTTACTGCAGTGATGTTCAAGTCGGTTCTTTGCCAGGTAAGAATTTTCTATGGTCGGCACAATTGCATCCTTTCCCAAAAACACACTTGTCATGATATCAGACAGGACTGGGTCGGCTTCAAAAGGCCGCTTGATGACTCGGCGGCTCGCGTGAGCATGGTCCCTCAGCCCCAAGCGGATATTGGGCAAAAACGGTCTTCCATCAATCCCACATCTGCCTCGGAGCAGCTCTGTTGCTTTCTGTTCATCGCCAGCATTGTCAGCGGTAACCACTTCTGTCTTCAAGCGTATGGTTTCCAACGAAATCTCACAAAGTTGAAACTCTTTTTGGCCAAGACCAGGAGCCAAACACCCTGGAGTGCAAAACTCACGGATGATCCGCTCTGTGGCTTGGCTGATGGATCCAGCTGCACTGCCAAAATTTTTGGCCAAACCAATCACACCGGATCTTCTCTCCATAGTCTTGGAAGCTGCTGTAAATCTGAGCAGCAAACGTTGATGTCTCTCATCTTGTTGTAATGCAATTGTCACTGCATGGTCCATCAGCCAGGTCCTGGTCAACATACGTTTGGCCTCAGCAAGGCAGAAAGACACTTGTCGAAGTTTGTCAGGCCCTATTCCATGTTGAGGCAAAGAAGCTTGGCACGCCAATCCATCCAAACGACGCTTCAGTGCATCTTTGAAGACCTCATAGGAAGGGGCGTCCACAGTGTCCTCAACCTGTGGTGATGGCAATATTCCTGATTTCTGTGCTGCCGACTTCCAAGCTTGCAAATGGCAATCAGATTGTTCATGCCTCTTCAAAGATGAAATCTTCAATTGGGATGGCTGCACTTCAAAGATTCCGAACGCACTTGTGAAGATCCCACTGCAGTGGCACATTGCACATCCCGCCTGGAGGTTGGAGCCATCATCTTCGCACACATATGCCAGCCAAGGGAGCTGCAAGTGGCGAAGAAGCTTTTCCCCTGTCTTGGCCAGCTTGCATGCAACACAATTCTCAGGTTTTTTCTTGCATGTCTTTAGATGCCTGGCCAAGTTAGGGTCATCAGGCTTCAAAGGAACAGGATTTAGAGCCGACATGAGGTCCTGAGGCGAGGCAACGTGAAGCAACACAAAAAATACAAAACTAAGGTCAGTGCAATTTGGAACCTGACAAAATGGCTGCACGGCGATGCATTTTTCCTCCTGAGCGCTCACACTACTGTTTGTCCTCCTACAAAATCTGCAACATGATTTCTCATATTGCACACCCCAAATTGGTCCTTAGTCGGAATCACTTCTCATCCACACGGGGCTTCTTTGAGCTGTCCATTGATGCAACTGCCTCGGCCAGTTTGTCCATCTCTGCGAGAACCCGCTTCTTCTTCTTAGACTTGGACTCGGTCTTGGGCGCCACACCCGAGTGATACACAGGCTCACCGATCTTGAACACAATCACCTTGTTCTGCAAAGCTTTGAACCCCAAGACCTTTTCATACTGCTTGGTCGCGTCATCCAAGCTTGTTACCGGAGCTCCTGGAATCAGCTGCCCAAGGGGAATGCGTTGAAGCATCTGGGACAAGCTCTCAAACACCTCAGGGATCTGGAGAATCTTGGCAGTGACCCTCTCATTGGTATACCAATGAAATGCCAAGACATCTCCCACTTGAAGGTTCATCAGCTTTGTCCCTGATGAAGTAGCAATGCGACTCTCATATGTTTTTGAACCTGCCAGAATCTGGTAGGCCAAGTCTTTCTTCAGGGACAGGCACAGCTTGTAGTCTCGAATGTTCTTGGGTGCTGCCGCCATTGCGAGATGATGACCGACCTATAGTGATGAGTTCCGAACTATAAGGCTTTGAAATCTGGCAGCACAATCAGCATCAAACTTCCATCATGAGTGAAGCTTGGCAATGGACAATGCCAGGTTTCAACAAATGATATAGATCTAATTTTTCAAGTGTAAGTCCTGAGAGTATCTGGCGTCTTAGCATGGAGCTGGTGGATTCAATGGTTTGCTTCACGCAGAATGAGACTTGAATCTTCAACCTGTTGAATAAGAACGATGGGAAAATGGTGCCATCTCTTTTCCAACACCCGCCTCCATGCAGTACATAATTAATGCCAAAAGGTAGTTTTGGGTTGCATCAAACCCTGACATCCATGGCAAAAGTCATGAATTAGATGACAAGGCCTCACGATCCCTCATTCCTCCAGGTCCTCCAGGATTTTCTCCAGTTTCATGAGTCGCTGCGCATGACTGACTCTAAGCTGCTGCCTGGCTTCATACATGCGGACTTCCCACACCCTCTTCGACATTGCTTCGCAGGGATCCGGGAGAACCTTGGAAGCAAGTGTCGCGTGATGTCGCGTGATTTCCTTTGTGATTTTCACATGCCCCTGTGGAAGAAAAAGGAGGTGTGTCACTGTGACTGTGACTCTAATGCAAGTGACTCTATCCAAAAGCTGCTGCTCCAAACCATAACCCAAATAGCGTTCTCGGATGACTTGCACCACACGCTCCCTCTTAGAAGGCTCTGTCATCGTTGATGTCGGGCTCAACATGGCAGGGCAACAAGCGGATTGAGTTCTCACTCAAATCTGGGCTTCAATCATCCAGACTTGAGAACTCGAGAATGCAATCAAACATTTCCAAAGAAAGGGTGGAAGCACGGATTGAACTCTTTGTAAGCTTCAAGGTTGTGAACTAGCACAATGTGGCACGTGTGAAAGACCCATTCAATGGCCTCGGCCTCCGCACAGCATAGGCCATGGCAGACCTTGCATCAAAAGTCCACATGCAGCTACATACAGAGATGAGAGACAAGTTCAACTTATACTCCAAAACTTGGGTTCCAAGTTTTGGTGCGGTTAAGTTCAACTTCATATAAGTTGAACTTGCCCTCCAAAACTTGGCGTTGGCCAAGTTTTGGTGGGTAAGTTTAACTTATATGAAGGCACAACAAGGCGGTTCACAAAACTTTGCATGCATCACAAGTAAAAAGACAAAAACTCAAGTTCAACAATTCAGAACAAAAGAACAAAGAAGTTAGGCGCCATCAACATCAAAAAAGCATGCAACTTTTTCCACTTGCTGTGGCGAAGCTGCTTCCAGTCGGCTGGAGCTTCCACGAGGCTCGTCTGCTCTTCAAGGGTCGGCCCTCGGAGCTGAGCCTCCAACAACAAATGGCCTCCGGCCTCCAAACAGGAACAAGAAGCTCTAGGAGCAAAGGACATCGCTGCTAGTAGCAAGGATCCTTCCGGCCTCAGTTGCCATTGTCCTCGCGCAGCCGCTTGACATTGTTGAGGAACGTGTTGAACGCCGGGTCGATGTTCAGCCGTGTCTGTGCTTCCCTCACGCTCATCAGGCCAAAGTAGATCATGACCGCCCCTGCCATCGCCTCGAAACATCATGATGGCCAAAACAGTGCATGATGGCAAAAAACATCAACAAACCATCACAAAAAAACACAAACTGTATGAATGTTGATGCCATGTTGCAGGTGACCGATGACGGCCACCGTTGCAATGAATCAGCAACCACCGCTTCGGCTTGGTCTTGCGCTGCGTGAAGGGCTCCACAGACTCCATGAGCGATTGAAACACCGCGGCCTTGAAGTAGTACTTCGTCTGCTGGATGAAGTTCGGGTTTGCCAGCTGCACAATCTCCTGCATGCCAGGGCTGGCATCATTCAGCAACTTGCCAGCCTTCTCCTTGCACTGGCAGTTGAGGATCTTCCAGATCTGGTCCTTCTTGATGACATTGTCGTAGCTCCGTGGTGCTCCGCTGATCAAGATCCCCCACTCGGCGGCCAGCTCCGAATTGACATTCGGCAAGGAGTTCCGGGACGCAAGATGTCTTCTTCCCAGGAGCTGCCAGCTGCAGTGTCCTTCATCTCAACGGCCTTCTTCTGCTTGAACTCATCGAACTGCCAGCTGCAGCGTCCGGGACCAGCACCATCGGAGTCATCATGGCAATCATCCACCTCGATCACAGGGCCACCAGCGCCCTTGTCCCACTGCTGATCATGGTCCCACTTGTCGTTGCCCTCGTCGCCGCCACCCTGGTTCTGATTCTTGTCATCATCATTGGCCTTCATCTTCTTGAACCAGTTCTGAACGCGTTCAGCGTCCTGAAGTTCAGAAGCAAATGATTGATGAACCTGCAACAAAACAAACCTAGGTAAAACATGCCAAAATAGAAACATGACTAAATTAAGTTACAACACCAACATGCAACTAAACATAACAAACTTGCAACTAAAGGACTCTGCGCTTGGTGCTCGGGTTCTTGCGTTTCCACCCGCCACCACCATCGCCGCCCTGACTCCATGTCGGAGCTGCCGCTGGAGCTCCATCGACACTCCCAATCTGGCACCCGGTGAAGGTGCAGTGCTCAAAGTGTGTCATCCTGGTGGATGTCACCATGTGAGAGCGGTGCTCTCACTCAGAGCCCAATGGAGCAGCTGCAAGTCAAGCTGAGTTCTGAAGTGTTGAACACGTACACTTTATGTACACTTCAAGAGATGTGATTTTCAGTTGGAGGGACACTGTCATTGCTTCTACACTTGCATCGAATTTCAAGAACAAGGAAGGGGCCTCCAGTGCCAGAGGAAAAATCAATCCACACTGATCCACACTGAACATCGCTGATCAATTTTTAAATGACACAGAGATTATAGCGTTGATCAAATTTTAAATTAGACAAAGTTGATACTAGCTGATCATGAACAAAATGCCATAATGCTAGTAGTATCTAGTAGTACATACTCAGCATTGCTCATCACTCACTCTCCGTGGA